CCGTTTTTCCCACATTTTAATAAATACATTTTCAAATCATAAATTTTAGTTTGTTTATTTGAATTTATATGGCATTTAAATCATTTCTAGAGGCTGTCAAAAATGCTAGCAAATGTCAGAAAAACCCAATGGCGGACGAATTGAGTGAGCGGTTTTACCTTTAAATGTTATCAAGCTACTACCTCTTTGATACGCCTTGTATTAAATCATGATTTTAACATGTTTTCACCTATGAGAATTCAAAGACAATTTTTCTACAATTTTTTCCTCTTTGGATTTGCGTTTAGCTTCCTTTTGTTTCTTTCTTTCTTCCCGCTCTCTTTGTTCCAGCATTTCTTTAAATCGCTCCTCACGAGGGTCCACTTTAAAGCCAAAATGTCTGCGCACTTCTTCAATCAACCTTTTTTTGTGCTCTTTCGCAGCTAAAGCATCCGCTTCTTTTTTCGCTATCTTATTGTGCATTTCTACCTTCCACTGCTCCAGTTTTAACAGTTTGTTTGCAATCTGTTGCTCACGATTATTAGTTGTTTCGATTGATCCCAGGTTTGATTGACTAGATCTTAATAATTGTTGCAGCGAATATTTTTCCTCCTCTATAAAGTCGTCGATAAAGTTCAATTTTCCTCGGATGTTGAAGCATATATATGGACCACTGGCAGATACTAAGCCATAACGTCCAAACAATTTTCTTTGGTATTTTTCTGTTAAGTGTATCCACGAACACGGTTCACTATACGGATTTACATTCAGCAAAACTTTCCTATTGTGACACAGAAGCCTAGACTTATTTCGGTTAATATCCGACGGATCTCTTGACTCACATTTCCTTTGCTTCATGGCACTGTGCGTGTCAAAGGCATGGCGCTGAATCATATTTATATGATTAATAGCACTGGCGGCATCCCAGGCAATTTTTTTTCTAAACGTAAACATAACTTGCCTTCTTTTTTGTGAATTTATTAGGTTGACAGATTTCCTTGAGGCCTTATGCAAACAAATCATTCAAAAGGAATTAGGAACGCAAGACAAACATCGATGCATCGGAAACATTGATGTTTGCAAATCGATTTTGCGGACCTTCCGATATACATCGATATATCAATGCATTACTAAAATTATTTTCTAAGTGCTCATTTACACACGGCGATTTTTGTTGCCCCAATTCGAGATTAGTTGGACAGAGCGGGTCGAGGAAAGGAGGGGGCGCCGAGTGGCTCGTGCTCGGGCAACACGCTTTGTGCTCTTGTTCGTCTGCGTAAATTGAGTTAGCGGTTCACAGCTGACAACAACTATTGCATACACAAAAATCGCCGTGTGTAAATGAAACGAGCAACACCAAAAGCAAAGCCGTATTTAGGGGGGCTAGGGGGTAATAGGTGTTCGGACCTCCCCCCCTGAAATGTAGAAATGTCGGATTTTAAGGCACTAAAAACTTAAAAAAAGGCAAAATCAGCTTTGAAAAAAGGCAAATATTTTTTAATTTTGTTGTGTACTTCCTTTATGTACAATGTGCATGTCCAATTAAAGATATTAAAAAATACATACTGTGGTCAAAAAATTATAGCCGAACCACTTTTTGCCAAGTTTTAACGTATTATTTCGTTATTTCATTTAGGTTATTTTTTAGTTTTTGACCAAAAGAAATGTGAAAAATCGCGTCGAAAAAAGTTTCCGTGTATACACACAATCTAAGCTTCCAAACTCTTCTCTTGAGTATCTTTTCTAGTCCCCTTTCAGACACGTCAAGTCTTGCTTTCAAGTCTGCTCGTTCGTGGCGAAGGCGGTGAGAAGAGAGGGGAGAGTACAGATACCTCCGTACCGTCAACTCGCTTCAAGTTTTCTTGTCTCTTTTGATCTTTTCGTTGCTTCCCATTTAAAGAACCAAGGACTTGAATTCAATTAAAGTTCACGCGGGTGGAAGCAAATAGAAATAACAAAATAGAATGCGAAAAACTGCTTTCAAGACTTGACGTGTCTGAAAGGGGACTAAGGTTGCAGGCAGAGTGGAAGCGAAGCCAAAGATAAAGATGAAGACGAAGCCGAAGCCGAAGACGTAAAACAGTGCAGTAGTAAACATGTGAAAGTATCACAGTGCAAACGAAGACGAAGATGAAGACGTTGCGGAAGCAGCCAGGCGAAAGTTCCTCCATAGTGAAACAGCTGTTTTTTGTTTACATTTTAATTGGGCATAAATGCAGTTTGGCTCCAAATCTCAAATTAGAAAACAAAATATGAGTATAATGGTATACTTCTTTTTTTT